TATAAAACGTCCGTGCTCGTTAGGGCAAACAGAACATCATGACCAGACACTTCTCTGATGCCCTATAGCTGGATGCTTTATGGATTTGCTTGTCTGTTTGTTGTTTTTGCATTGAATTTGTGAAATGGGTGTTTGGATGCCCTTGAGCACCGTGCCCCTCTTACTGAATTAAAGACTCCGCCTCCTTCAGTTTGTGAACTCGGTGTGCATATTATTTCTGTGCCAAGAGGCAAAGGCAAGGGCTCCTGTAACCCTGCACCTGAGGAGAGAAAAGTGGTCCCTGAGAGACGTGGTCCCTTTGGCACAGAGGTAGCAGAGTCAAGTAGCCTTGGGCCAGGCAGCTGGCACAAAGGAGAGAAGCCGGCCAGGAACCGCGCCGCAGGGAGCACCTGCCCTGTTCAGAGCCACCTGTTGAGGGCTCGTGGTGTAGGGTTCCACAGGAAGCCGGAGGCGTGGAACGGAGCATGGACTCCCCGGCTTTGAAAGCCCTGGGCACACCACGGAAGACCTTATGTCTGTGAGCTGGAGGTGTCAGGGGCCCCCCACGTTTGGCACATCTGCCTCGTACCATTAGCGGAGCACAGCTGTCTCTCACTGGGAACCCCCCTGCCCCAAATCCAAACCTGGCACTATTCTCTGGGGTTGGCTTGGCCGTCTGAAAATAAATGCATAAAGTCAGTTTGACCGGGATGTCTTTGGGAGCTGGACCACACCGGTTTTCCTCAGATCTCCCCACTCCCCGTGGCCTTGCACTAGTCCACACGCGCCCGTGGACGGTCCCCGCCTGTCCCTTGGAGACGGTCACATTTTTAACCACGTCTACAGACAGACCCACATGCTAATCTCGTGTCTTTGGGGGCTTTCCTCCTAGCTCACTGGAGACCTAAAACAGAAGATCGGATGACTAAGCAGAACCAAAAAGTGTCCTCAGTGACATCTCGGGGCCCAGCGGCGCAGCGGGGCGGTGTGGCCTGGCTCTGCTTCCCTCCCGCGGGGTCTCTGGCTCTGGTCTGTGACCCACGGTTAGCTGTGACGTGAGGGACACAGTACACAGGGGACCCGCCAGAGTGGCCGACGTCTAACAGGAGCGCGAGACGTGGAAGCTAAGTATTGCTGCGGCTCATTTTATGACGATTCCTGTTATCAGAGCAACTTGCGCGGGCAGGTGCACGTACGCAGCTAACGCACCTTGGGTTCACCCGGTGCAGAAAGGCCTATATTCATAAACGCGCTCGGCCCCTTAGCAGTGTTTCTTATATACAAACACAATAGAGGTGGAATTCTAAAGCCCCAATTAAGTGGAAAAGGTCGCTTTCCGTGGTAACAATAGCCAGAGCTAAAGCAACAACAAAAAAAAAGCTACTTAGTTTGGCAACCTTTGTTCAGAAGAATCCTCTGAAAAAGCCCCCCTCGGGACCTTCTGAATGGGGCCTGAACCAACCTTCTTAATCCTCTGCCCGTCTCACATAGGGTTAATTCAATGCTTGGGAGGAGGTGGGTCCCCCTTTTGTGGCGAGAGCTGGTCACAAAACAAAAACCAATTGCTAGGTTCCAAAGGGGTTTCTCGCTCACACTCTGGGCTAAAATAAGCACCGCGATTGTTCTTCCTTCTTGGCCTGGAAGGGGTGGAGAGAAAGTTAAACCTCTGGAACACACAGAATTTGCTGAAAAAGGTGAAAGTTCCATTTCAAGTTCCAAATTGAATGCAGACTCCAGGCTTCGCAGGCCCCCCAGCCCCGCCCCCGGCCTGGTCCCTCGTGGGGTATGTGTGCGCTTGTGGGGAGGGTCTGTCTATCAGGCTGCCACCCCCGAAACAGCAGGTAATTAAACCTCGGGGGCCTGGAGGATTTGGACTCCGGTTTGGAGAAATACTACACGGGAGGCTCCCCGCCCCCGGCCTCCTCTCACTTGCTGTGGGGATTTTCTGTAGTTACACATGGATTCCCAGGTAAACAAGCCTGAAAGGAAGTCACAGGCGGGGGACCGAATTAGCACCTTGGTGTTGCTGGTAATGAACCGGTTTGCTTAATTAGACGATCGTGAAATTATAACACTGAAAAAGCATAAAACCGTGGCTCAAAATCGAGGGTCCGCCCAGCTGCCAGAGGTCCTTTGCGGAAGATGCTTACTCAGTAGGATGTTTCCTGAGATGGGAAACGCGACTCTTTTTTGCAGGGTCACGCAAGGTATGACCGCTTAGTCCCATGCCACGTGTCCTTCGGCAGGTCGTTCCGCGTCTCTGGACCTCAGTTCCCTTTCTGGAAACATTCGTAGGATTTTATCTGCCTGGGAATTTAAGTCAGGGAATGGAATGAAACCCTCAGGACCACCATCTGAGCGCTCAGGGTGTGCAAGGCCTTGTACTGACCCCCCTGCACCTGCGATCCTCACACCCGTGGGGTGCTGGGGCCGGACACTGACGTTATCCACGGACTGATAGGTCAGGCAGGTGAATTTAAGTGACTCACCTAAGACCGCAGACTTAGAACACGTCGGCGCCTTGGTGCAGCGGGAGCCCCTCGGACCACGGAGCGTCAGCTTTGAAGCAAAACCCGCCCCCTGGACCTGAAGTGCAATATTTTGTGCAGAGGTCACTCGACTTCAGGGACCTTTTCTTGTTTCTTCAAGAAGAAAGGGAGCCCCCTCTTGCCCGGGCTCTGCTTGACGTCTACCTGCAGACCATGGAATGTCACCCCATGGAGTCACTGAGTCGCCAGCGGATTAACAAACCAGGGCTTTCTGTCTGAAATGATCGTGGGCTGTTGTCGTTGGTGTGGGAAAGAGGAAAAGACCGATGCGTCACGGGCGTGTGTTCACCCTCGCACCCGGGACCATCACGTAGGCAGCTTCCCGGAGAGCACGGGGGTGTCTGGGCCTCTTTCTTGCGTGGGTGGGCCTGAGGTGCCCATGCTGTTTGCCCCTGTCGTTCCCGACAGCGTGGACGCAGAGGGGAAGGAGGTGGCCTTCTGTATCCGTCCCGTTGGCCTGGATTCCCACGTTCCTCCCACAGACTGAGCGTCGCCCGCAGACGCGGAAGGGCAGGAAGGCGGGATTCTGGGCGTGGGGCCCGGCCCGGCGTCCTCCCAGCCGCGAGAGCGAGGGCAGGCCGTGGAGTCAGCCTTGGTTTCCTCAATCACCTGTGAGCCCGCTTCCGGTTTGACAAACCCAACCGGTGTCCGAAGGATCGTGATAATATTCATACGAACGTCAGAGAGCCGGGAAGACCCCAGTGGAACGTGCAGCTGAGAAGTTTCCCGAAAACCTGAATCTCCACGTAGGGAGGGCACGCTCACCATGGTGATGAGGGGAACCTGTCCGTGTGTCTCCGGCCCGTCACCCAGAGTCCTCCTCCCGCCCCGGTCGTCCCGACGGCAGAGGTAGGCCAGAGACCGGAGCGCTCAAGGGTGGAGCGTGTGCTTGGCAAGACGTAGGGAGCTCTCGGGGAAGAGGAATGACTCTGTCTTCCTTTTCTTCCCCACTCAGGGCCATTCTGATGAGATGTGCATGGGGGTGGGGGGCTGCCGGGAGCCACGCAGAGACAGGCTGGGGCAAAGGGGAAGAGGGGAGTTTGGATGCCAGCTCCTTGGCTTGTGGTGGCCGGGAGTGGTCATCGCGACAGGAGTGGGGTCGTGGTGGTCGTGGTACCAGTAACGCCAGTCATACCAGTAGCAACAGAGGCAGCTAGTGGTCACTGAGCTCTCGCCCTCCCTCCAGACGCTCCTTACGTCCAGTGGGTATTCTGGTTTGCACAAAAGCTTTGGGAGGCAGGCCCGTGTATTTTCCCTACTGGCACCCGTGGGGCCTGCTGCTCAGAGCGGGAGTCACTTGTCCCAAGGCACGGAGGCGCCCACGGTGCCGTTCAGCCCAGGCTCTGCAGGGCCCATGTCTCACAGGAGCTGGAGTTCGTCCTCACCCCCCAGCGGAGCCCGACCCGCCGCCCCTGGCACCCAGCACCAAGCCCGGGCAGCAGACAGAGGGCCCGGTGAGCTCTCCTCACCCCCTGGCCCACTCGCTCCTGCCTTCCTCACTCCGAGGAGGGGAGACAGGGCAGGTACCCCTTTGTGCCCATTTTCTCAGAAGCAGGGTTGGCGGAGAAACCGCTGGTGCATGGGCAAGGGTGGTGGGGACTGTGGTGCTGTCCAGGTTGGTTTTCCAGGCCTCCTAGTTCCTGGGCTCCTGGCCCTGTCCTCCCGGCCCTGTCATCCCAGCCCTGTCCTCCCGGCCCATCCTCCTGGGTCCTGTCCTCCTGGCCTGGTCCTCCTGGCCCCTGTCCTCCTGGCCCCGTCCTCCCAGCCCCATCTTCTCAGCCCCTTCCTCCCAGGTCCTGTCCTCTTGGCCCCATCCTCCTGGCCCCTGTCCTCCTGGATCCGTCCTCCTGGACCTGTTCTCTTGGCCCCATCCTCCCAGGTCCTGTCCTCCTAGCCCTGTCCTCCCAGGTCCTGTCCTCCTGGACCCGTGTTCCTGGCCCCGTGCTCCTGGGTCCTGTCCTCCTGCCCCCGTCCTCTTGGCCCCTTCCTCCCAGCCCCTGTCCTCTTGACCCCATCCTCCCAGCCCTGTCCTCCCAGCGCCATCCTCCTGGCCCCATCTTCCCAACCATTGTCCTCCTGGCCCCGTCCTCCGGGCCCCCTCCTCTTGGCCTCATCCTCCCGGCCCCTGTCCTCCCAGCCCCATCCTCTTGATCCCGTCCTCTCAGTCCTCCCGGCTCCATCCTCCTGGTCCCATCCTCCCGGCCCCATCCTCACGGCCCCGTCCTCCTGGCCCTGTCCCCTTGGTCTCACCCTCTGCTCTAAAGGCCTTTCAGGTCTGACGTCATTCCAGCCAGGGCTCTGTCCACCAGAGATGAGCATGGTGACATTCTGCAAATGTGGGTCACCAAGGGGGTGCAATAGACCTGTGCCCATGGCCAGAGCCCAGACACCGAGATGACTTATAGAACAGAGAAAGAAATGCATTCCACGCAGGAGAGCCGGGCCGGGAGAGGGTCCAGGAAGAGGCAGCACTTAGTCGTCACCTGAAGACAGAGCACACCCCCGCGGGCAGGTGTCCAGCGGTGGGGGTGGTGCCACCCGCGGCCAGAGGACGCCCCGGACGCCCGGCGGCTTTGACCTGCGGCGCTCGTGGATGGCACCGCGCACCTGCGGATGCTCTTCGCTCTCCGCGTGTGTGGGATTGTCTCTAAGACACTGGGCAACGACTGGGTACCTCGTGGCCAACAAGGGCTCCAAAACGTTAAAAAACACAAAAAAGTTAAACAGGAGTAAGAAGTAGGATCCACAGAGACTAAGGCTAACAATTCTCTTTGCCAAAGTTTCCAAGTTACCATTTTGCAAAGTCTTCTAAGGAAGACGGGCCGCTCCCCAACGCACGGCTGTGAGTTCGAGGCCTGCAGGGCGCTCCGCTGGGAAGGGGGTCACTTGAAGGGCTCGTGTGCACGTCCTGCAGCGGCTTTTCCTAGGAGATCATCGTGGTGGGGTGCCCCCGCCCCGAGGGATCCACTTGGTCACCAGGATCCCGCCCGGCGCGCACAGCGCAGTGGACGTGCGCATCCCCCTGTCCCGGGCCCGAGGGCCGCTCCGTGTGTGCCGTGCGCCCCCCTGGTGGAGCTGCCGTGGCCTCCTCCGTGGGAGAGGCAGTTCCCCTGGGTCTCCGCCTCGCCCTCTCCCCCCTGTCACCGTATAGATAGCGTCGCCCGGCCACCCTGTTTACAGTAGGAGCTCCCGCTTCCCTCCAAACACTCCACCCTGCCCTGCTCTTAATTTTTAACCGGAGCCCCTCCCATCACCTGACCTCTGCTTGGCCCTTTATGTTTTTTTATGAAGCCCGTATAGACCGTATGCTCCCAAGGGCAGGCACGCCCGTCCCTACCCCAGCTTGTGGCACCTCATAAGCACGGAGTAAGCTGTGGATCAAAAGCTCAAGCAGGAGGTTGTCTTGTTGGTGACACATGGTGCTCACAGGGCTGGTTGCAAGGAGACCTCTGCTGCCCGGCCCAGGTCCACCCCCATGACCAGGGCGGACTGGCTCCGTGGGGACTGGCCTCTTCCCAGGGGACGGGAGTGGCTGGGGTGGCGGCGCTGCAATGGGGATGAAGTCTGGTGGAGGCCGCGGTGGAGGTTGCAACCTGGCGGGAGGACCACGGGGGTCTACGGGTCTGAGGAACATGCCTTCTCCTCCGGGCTCGCTCACCTCTGGTCTGACAATCTCTTGATTTTCTGAACTTTTGGTTTTCCCATCTGAGAAATTGAAACAAGGACGCCTACCTTGCTGGGTTGCTATCAGCGGTTATAGACCGGCTCATAAGAAATTAGAAACCTATTTCTCCCGGCCCCTCGTAGGCGTTACAGGCACTGAAAGCCCTGTGGGTGTGGGGGGGAGGAAAGTTCTGGTCTCCTCAAAAAGCACCCGGAGGTCTCCTACACCTGCTGTCTCCAGACCTGTCCTGAGCAAGGCAGAGTGTCCTGGGGACAGTCCGACCCCATCCCTGGCAGGCCGCACCCCACCCTCCTTGTGCTGACCCCCCCTCCCCCGGCAGATGGCAGATGCACACCTGATGGAGCAGAGTCCTGACCTGGCCCCGCGACGCCCGCCTGGTGACCTGGGCACGGCTCGGCCCATTCGTGGGTTTGCAGTAAACATCCTGCCAGTCCCTACCCCGCCGCCCCACAGGTCTCCCAGCCTCCAGCCCTCCGGCCTGTCCTTTCTCACTTATTTAGCTATTAAAAAATTAAAAAAAAATCAAAAATAAAACTATCTGGGAAGCATCTAGTCTTACAGGGTATTTTCCTCGGCTTTCGTGCTGAAGGCGGGAAGCTCTGGACTCAAATGTTTCCAAGGGGAAACACGAGACATTTACGCAGACCGTGACCAGCTCAGGCCTCTCAGCACCAGAGAGGGCTCCGCATGCCTGCGGTGCAGGGGAGGAAGGACAGTCATTTCTCCCTGCGGTGGGAAGAGGAAGCTTGGGAGGCACCTGGCTTCCTGCGAAAAGGCATGGGGGGACGTTGGATGTGCTTCAGATGCACTTTACTGAGCGAAGGCAGCGCATCTGAAAGGCTGCTTCCCGTCCATCACCTTCTGGAAAATACAGAGCTGTGGAGCCAGGGAAGAGGCCGGGCATTGCCATGGGCCCACTGGGAACCCGGGGCACTTTGAGGGCAGCGGAACTATTTATTGTGTGTGATACTGTCACGCGGGATACATCGCTCACGTCTGTGCTACCCCATAGAATGATGTCAACCCCGTAGTTTAGCTAATCACGATGTATGGATGTTGGCTCATCAGGTGTAACCAAGGTGGCACACGGATGCAAGATGTCCCTAGTACAGAAAACTCGGGGGGCAACGGGGGAAAGCGTGTGTGGGAACGCTCCAGGATATCTGCTCTATTTTTCTAGAAGCCTAAAACCTAAAGTCTGTTAATTCACGCACACACACACACACACACACACACACACACACACACAGAGGTTCAGGAAAGCAGGTTCACTAGCACAGGTGAGCTAGAAGCAGGTGGAGCTCAGAGGCCACACCAGGACGGGGTCTGTAAGGGGCAGAGCTTGGACCCACCTCCCGGCGGATTGCAGGGGACCATGTCGTCTCGTTTTATTTCCCTCCCGGGGAATGAGCGGGCCATAGGCTCGGAGCATCCTGTCCTCAGACCAGAATCCTCGAGAAGCCCGAGCAGCAGTGCCGGTGCCTTTGGGGGGAGAGAAAGTTTCCAGAGCAACCTTGTGGGAGTCCCGGGTTTGCTGCTTACTAGCCGTGGTCCTTGCGCGAGTCACACAGTGTCTCTGGGCCTATGTCATCAATTTGCATTTTTTACCCAAAGGAAGTCACTGGGGAAAATGCAATAACGTCTAGTCGTCAGAGGGAGAAATCTGTGGATCCTCCTGGGGAAATCTGTGTGTCCCCAGAACTGTGCTTGGCACCAGCAGCTGCTCAACACCCCTCCCTTCTTCTTTCCCTCCCCTGTGAAGGGAGCATGTGGGGCGTCTCTCCCGGGTGGGGCTCGGGAGGACACTCGAGGATGCGGCTGTGGACCTGGACGCTGTCCCTGTGCCACTGGGGCTGCCTGGAGGCTGTGCTCCCGTCTGTCTTCCATCTGGGTCAACGGTGTGGCTGTGGACCGGTCCCGTCCTGAGGTCACAGTCGCAACCAACGCGGTCCTGGCTTGCAGGTGCCCGCTTGCCCTTGGTCCCTCGGCCCTGCCATTTCCCTTGGCGCCGCTGTCCCGGTGAGGCTGTGGAGGGCCTGGGACACCTGGGCTGCTGAGGTCACCGTGCAGGTGGCCTCTGGGGCGAGGGCTCCCGCCCATGGCTCCCAGGACCGAGGTCGCCGCTCTCCCAGCCGCCAGGTCGTGGGTTGGCGCTTGGCGGCCCAGGCTTCCCGGGAGAGGGGGTGTCGGAGGCCTACGGAGCCCCAGGGCATCCCCCGCCCCCCGCATCCCGCAGCACCCCCTGCGGCTCGGCCAGGACCCCGGGCCGGTGGCCGGGGAAGCCGCGCCAAGTGGAGGTGGATGGTGGATGCCGGGGACGCCGCCCTCGCGCCAGCCTGACGCGTCCCCGACTCTCCGAGGCTCCTCTTTGCGAGGGGACGAGGGAAGTGCTGCCCTGATCCTGCCATTTCCCTGGCGCCCTCCCAGCGGGCCTGGGATGACCAAGGCGGGGCGGGCGGGGCAGGCGGGGGGGGGGCGCCTCCTTGTGGGGGCTGCCCCGGGTGGCCGCGGGTGGGGATGGGGTGGGGGTGGGAGTGGGGGGCTGCCCTGGGTGGCCCCCGGCGAGGTGGGGTGAGGGTGGGGGAAGGGGACATCCCTGGGTAGCCGCGGATGGGGGTGGGGTGGGGGTGGGGGCTTCCCTGGGTGGCTTTGGTGGGGGGTGCAGGCCGGGGCAGAGTGAGCCGACAGTCGGGGGGTCGGCGGGAGGGGCGCCCACGGAGGCCGGGGAGCATGGCTGGACCCCGAGGTGCTCGCGGGCGGCTTCCCTGGGCGCGGCCCTGGGGTCAGGGGTCTGCGCCCCCCGACCTGCGAGGTCTGGGAGCAGGTGTGCACAGTCGGGGAAGCCCGATGGATGGCGAGCCTTGCGCACCTGTTGGCGGGCGAGGGCAGGGCCCGCCGAGCGTCTCCGACCCAGATCCCGGGGCCTCCACCTGCAGGTGCGGGTGACCCCGGCGCCACCTTCATCGCAGCCCTCGCGTAGGCTGAGCCCTGGGCCACCTGCTGCCCGCGCTCGGCCGCTGGCCCCCCAGGAGCAACTTGTAGGGTTTCGGAGGAGCTCCGTGCCGCCCTGGAGGTCCCGACGTCTGTCCCCTTGGGCATCGCGGTCCAAGGAGCCGCCCCAGCGCCCCCCATCCCCACACCTGCCACTAGCGGGTCGGGAGGCAGAGGGGGCGTCTCCCCGCTTGGCCAGACCCGGCGACCGGCTCAAGCCCCGGGGCCCCATCCTGACCTCCACTCAGCGCTGGGCCCTTTCCCTCTCCAACCCCGATTCCTGATACTATCAGTTTTACACACAGCACGTTTTAAAGATCAGTGGTTTAGAAATGGTTAGTATTTTTTGTCTGTTTTGTTAAAAGGATTATTTTAGAGCAGTTCTGGGTTCACAGCAAGATTGAAGGGAAGGTACAGAAGCATGCCATACGTTCCCCTGCCCCCCCAGCACAGTCTCCCCCATCATCAACACCCCCAACCCCCCGGGGACACTTGTTAGAACCCGTGACCATATCCATAAAGCATCATTTTCTTTCTTTCCTTTTTTTTTTTATAAGATTTTATTTATTTATTTATGAGAGACACAGAAAGAGAAGGAGAGAGGCAGAGACGCAGGCAGAGGGAGAAGCAGGCTCCTTGCGGGACTCAATCCCAGGACCCCGGGATCAGGACCTGAGCCAAAGGCAGACGCTCAACCACGGAGACACCCGGGCATCCCAATGACGCATCTTTTTCATGCAGAGTCCACAATTCACATCATGGTTCACTCTTGGTGTTCGGGCAAACTCTATGGGTTTGGGCAAGTGCATAACGTAATGACACGTCTCCACCATGACAGTGGCTCACGGGGTAGTCTCACTGCTCTGTGAGCTCATCCCTCCTCCACCCAAGCTCTGTGACCACAGATCCTCTACCGTCCCCAGAGTCGTCCTTTATTTAATATTTCTGAGGTTAAATTGTTGCCCCCAGAGGTCATATGAGTAAAGAGCTAACCATCAAAGCCAAGGAGATGAGGTGTAGCTGGGGTCAACTTTCAGGACAGCCTTGACCACAGCTTTCCTATGAGTAACCAGCTGGTGTTTGTCTCCGTGGATGTGGCCCAGCCACTCCTGCCCTTGTGGGCATCGTTCAGAGTCTTCTTCTCTGACGTCCACTCCCTTCTCACTTTGGCACAAGCCCCCACCTGGGGCACCAGGTACCCCTAACTTATGCTTGGCTTTCTTGGGACTCCATGTGTGTGTGGGTCCCTGCCCAGGGGCAGACCCTGGCTGTCCTATTGTCCAGGGTTCCCAGCACAGAGCACAGGGGCTGGTTTACCGTGCGTGCTCACCACATAATCCTTCAGGGAAAGAACAGATGTCATAGCCAGGTCAGGCTTATGTGTTACATTTCTTTTTCTTTTCTTTTTTTCCTTTTTTTTTAATTTATTTATTTTTTTATTTTTTATATGTTACATTTCTAACCCGCAGAGCCCTGAGGTCTCAAACTCTGGGGTACACGGTCAGCACCTGCGGAGCTGGAGTCCCCAGCCTCGTCCCCAGGAGCTCTCTCTGTACATCTGGGGTGAGCCTAGAGCCCCTGCAGGATGCCTCGTAGGAGGGCCTGAGAAGACTCAGTGCTTCAGGGGCAGGGACGCCATCCCCGCTCATCTGTGCTCCGTGACTTCGGGGTGTGGCCGGGCCACCCAGGGACGGTTAATTATCTCATGGGATGAAGCACCACAGAACTTGAGCCCTCCGACATCAAGCTCAACCATGGATCCTCCACCGTCCCCAAGCTTGTCCTTTATTTCATATTTCCGAGGTTAGATTGCTGCCCCCAGAGGTCATATGAGTAAAGAGTTAACCATGAAAGCGGAGGAGATGTGGTCCGGCTGGGGGTCCACTCTGGCTCTGCCCTCCGTGGGCTGATTGAACTTGAGCAGATGGACTCCCCATGCGGAACCTCTTTCCCCATCCCAGAATTGGGACTTTGAAATTTTTGAAGGTGCTTTTCCATCCTTAGTGGCCCGTGAGGAGCTGCGAGGTGGTGGCTGTGTTATGCGCCTGCACCCTTGGACCCTGGACCGTCAGGCAGGAGGGGTATAAAATTGGCATTTTATACCGATTAATAGGTACAGATTTTGAACATTTCTGTGTGCCAAATATTCATATAAGTGCTTTCCTGCTTGCCTCATAATCACACTTTGAAATAATGTTTATCACCATCATTGACATATAAGGAAAATAAAGACCAAAGTATCTGAGTGTACTTTGCAGAAGGTATTATTTTGGCCAGTGGACGGGCTGATGCAGTAGTTTATTAGAATTCAAAAAAACAAACAAAAAAATTTTAAAATGGAAAATATGGTCACCTGACTCACGCAACCTGTATGTTTGCTTGGAAGGAACCACAGCTTTCCTTAACGTAGCTGTAGAGGGGGGGGCTCTCACTTAGGTGCCTCCTTGCCGTGAGCTCTGCTGTGCGTCGGGCCTCGCAGGCCCTCGGAGGTCAGCCTCCGTGCCCCTCTGTGGGTGGCGGCAGGGGATGCTGGGAGGTCAGGCTCTCGCCAAGACCGCCGCTGAGCAGCACACCTGATGTGGGAAGCCCTGGCAGTCTGATTGCAACACGCACGCGATGCCTTCCGAGCCCTTCAGAAGCTTAAGCGAGTTCTCAGCCAGCTCAGGAGGGCAGAGGTCCCCAACGGCCAGCAGGTGCCCGGGAGGGCAGGGGACCCGCGCTCTCCTCTCCAGGCTGCACACTCGCGCCTTCTGCTTCCTGCAGCGACCAGGCCAGAGGCTCAGCTACTCAGTTTCAGGCAAACCCTGTGCACCGGCCAAAAGGACCACGCCAGCCACCGGCCCCACGAGGGGGAAGCTCAGCGATCGTTTGTGGCAAGCGTTCTGGTGGCCGTAGCCAGCCGTGACATTTCCGGGACTGCTTCCCATGATGGATGAACCTTCCGCCTTCTCCACGGCTGAGATCCGTGTGTCCCTTGGTGGAGACGGAGGCACAGGATGAGGCAGCCACAGTGGGGGTGATAGAGCCGGGTCTGCAACCAGTTTCCAACCCCACTCAGGGCTCACTGTGCCCTCTGGGCTCTCAGGGTCACTGCGGGCCACTCTGCTCTGGTATCGGGGCAGAAAATGCTTCCGTTGGCTCTTTGTGGTTATGGGGGGGGGCAAATTCTTAGGGAGAAGTTGGAGTGAGCAATGTGCAGCCCACTCCCTCTCGCCCAGATTCCTGCTCCAGAATTACAGACTACTATCAAGCACATTTCTGTAAATGTCATAGATGTACTTAAAAAGCACACACACACACACACACACACACACAATGATGCCACAGAAGGAGACCTTAAAGGCTGGAGCATCAGCAGAGCTGAAACTGAGAACCGTGAGCAGCTTTGGGGACGACAGGTAATACTCTTAGGGGACAAGAAGTCAACACCTGCCCAGGGATATCTATGTTGCTGGCAGATGCCATGTGCCATGAGCTTGACAACCAAACAGCTTTACGAAGCCAGGGACGGGGACGGAGGTGGGTCGTCTCTGAACACAAACTAGCAGTGCGCGGCCTGCACAGGGAATGCAGCACACAAGCCCACGCTGGCTCTGCACCCCAAGCGTGCCTACTCCTGGGGCCTCGATTCAACTGTCTGCCCTGGTTGGGAATTTTGAGCAGGGATTAGCTACAGCAGCTTCTGTGGAGCTGACTGGCCCCCCAAAGGCCCCCGCCCAGGAGAAAACAGCATGACACCAGGAGAGGTGCCTGCACCCCTGGGCATGTCTGAGGCTCCGGGGCAGGACAGCTCCTACAGCAGATGAGCTCGTGGCACCTGTGGAAACTAACCGCCGCGAAGGTCGACAGACTCAGTAGGAGGAGGCATCGTGTCCAAGGAGCTGCACATAATGGACAAGTCAAAATGGGGTTTTGATCGTTCGAGACACAATTTAAAGGAAAAAGAAAGGAATAAGGAGCATACGTAAGATTCCAACAAGAAGACTTTTAAAAAGATGCCCACAAGATTAAAAATAGAGTCACTGAAATAAAGCCAGTGGGTTGGACTGGGATGTCTTCTGGTCTGTTAGTCTTGGCCCAGCTGGAACGTCCTAGGAGTGGGGACAGGT